CCAACACCATAACTCAATGTATCAATTCTTCTACGGTCTTTCTTATTTACTGTCCAGCTTTCACATGCATATGAGGTTATTGAAAATACCATGGCTTGGGACATTGGATGGTAGGTCCAAGCAAAATGAAGTCTTGACAACTTCAAACTTTTCCCCATTTATCATGATGTTATTTATTCATCAGTTGCTAGGATTTTAGTTTTCTTTACATTCAGGTGCAATCCATCCTGAAGTCTGCAATCTTTGCTTTTCATTAGTATTTAAGTCCTCTTCACTTTTAGCAAGCACGGTTGTGTTATCTGCATATCACAGGTTATTAATGAGTCTTCCTCCGATCCAATCCTGATAACACGTTCTTCTTCAAATAACCCAGCTTCTCAAGAGTATTTGCTCACCAAACAACTCTGGTGAAGGGATATAGCCCTGGCATACACATTTCCTGATTTTAAAACTATTCAGTATCTCCTTGTTCTGTTCAATTTATGTACAGGTTCCTTATGAGCACAATTAAGTGTTCTGGAATACTCATTCTTTGCAGTGTTATCCATAGTTTGTTATGATCCATGCACCAAGTGTCTTTGTATAGTCAATAAAGCACAAGTAAACATCTTTCCTTTATTCTTTGCTTTCAGCCAAGACCCATCTGACATATGAATTAATAGCCTTCATTTCACATCCTTTTCTAAATCTGAGTTGAATTTCTGGCAGCTCTGTGTCAATGTATTGCTACAATCATTTTTGAGTTATCTTCAGCAAAATTTTACTTGCATGTGGTTTTATTAATGATAGTGTTCAATTATTTCTATATTTTATTGGGTCACCTTTCTATGGAATGGACACAATTATGAGTCTTTTCCAGTGCTGCATCAGTTTATGAAAAGATTTCCATTTGTATTCTGTCAATTCCTGGAGCATTAGATATGTATTGTCAACCTCCTCCTTCCACTCCAGGTGTATACCAGTTTACTGTCCCAGCAGCCATGCATGAATAAATATGCTTGTTTTCCCAGGATCCAACCAGCAACATGTAAAATCAGACTTTGCTTTTGCCAATCCCATGAGAAAGATGGTATCCTGTAGGAAGTTTCATTTGCATCTGGACAAGGAATTCTCTGGAAGAAAAGGCACATCAAGTCACAAGTGTCAGCTGTTTTAGTCCCTTTGTTAGCACTGACTGACACCTCTCTGCACTCTTCCACAAAACACTTGGCTGCCACCTGTTAGAAAACTGTCCTCATGGTCACACAAGTCTACAATGACGTTGAGGCAAAGAGTGTACAAAACCCAGCCCTTCTCCCCAACTGGCTCCAGAGGTGCTGGGTTGAAATCAGATTGTAAGGAGCGAATGCAGTGGAAGAGACAGGTACAGGACAGGAAGTCCAGCTGCTTGATGGGAGCACAAGGACTGTCAGTTGAGGGACAGCCAGAATAAATGGAAACTTCATTATCTGTGGATTATGTGCTTGGAACTGAGGTCCCAGACAACTCCGGCACTGGTAATTTAGCCAGGAGGCTCATTAAGCTCTTGAGGAAAGTGAGCCTAGAGAATGAATTAATACAAGATGACATTTTACACAGAGTCAGAATGAGACCAGGCACCGCTTAGTTATGTAACATCACAATTCCTCGCGCGAATGTGACCCACCGCACCTCTCCTGCCAGATCGGAATGGGAAGATCAAAGAGAGCTTGTTTTCAGAGACACAGCGAGGTCATGAAGACTCCATATTCCATTCATGTTAAAGGGCTTCCACGTGTATGCTTAAAACCTCGAGTGGTTACCCAGAAGTTTGGGTTTTAAAAACACTGGCCTGACTTGTTTTCGGTGTGGAAATTTAGCCACTTTCTTCCTTGAAGAAACATTTTCTCCCTGGAAAAGAGCTGAGTCCATCTTGATGATCTGTCCACCCTCTACCCACCTCCAGCCCCTAACGGGAGCTCCCAGCTTCTGCAACTTTAGAGAAGCTGGTGATGGAAGCGGTCAGAATGTGGACTCTGAGAGCAAGCACTGGTGTTGGGGCATCGACTCCCAACTAGTGGTGCCTTTGTGTGCAACACAACCAAACTCTGACCAGTTTTGCACACCCATGATCACTTGTGGATCCAGCCATTGTGCTCTTTGGGATTCCCGTTGGCTGGTTTTTCTACAGTAAATTGCCAGAACTTTCTTCCCAGTCCATTTGAGTCTCAAAGCTCTATGTTGTTGTTAGGGACCATCGAGTCCATTTTTAACTCATAGTGAGTGTGACAGAATAGAGCTTCCCCAAAGGGTTTTCTGGAGTCCTGGTGTGGCGCTGTGGGCTAATGTGCAAAGTCATTTGAACCATAAGGTTGGAAGTTAAAGCTCACCAGTCACTCCTCGGAAACCCTGTATAGGGTCACGATGAATCGGAACCTTCACGATGGCACTTAACAACAATAAGGTTTTCTAGATTGTAATCTTTATAGGATCAGATAGCAGGTTTTTCTCCCATAGAGCCACTGGGTGAGTTTGAATCAGCAAGTCCTTTAGCGACCACTGGAGCGCTCTCCTGCTGTACCACCAAGGTTCATTTTCCACAGCGTTGTTCTTGGTAAGTCTGTTCTGACTCATTACAACCCACAAACCTCCATGGACAGTTAGGTGGCGTGTACACATGAAGGTGCCTGAGTCTCCCACTTATTGTTCAGTGTCGTCGAGTCGATTCCAACTCAGCAACCCTGTATAGGGTTTCCAAGGAGTGGCTGGTGAGTTTGAACTGCCAACCTTGCGGTTCAAACCAACCTTGCAGTCCAGTGCATTATCCTACAGCGCCACACTAGAGCCTCCCATGTGGAGGGTGAGAATTCTACCACTGCATCACTACTTCTCTCAAGAAACAGCATTAACCGCGTGCTAACCTTTGAAAGGAGCTCTGGCAGCATAGTGGTTATGAATCTTGTTGCTAACCTCAAAGTCGGCAGTTTGAAACTACCAGCTGTTCCGTGGGAGAAAGATGAGGCTTTCTGCTCCCATAAAGATTTGCAGCCTTGGAAACCCTGTGCAGGGTCACTGTGAGTCAAAACCGACTCCACAGTACTTAACACCAATCCTGTGCTCAGCTCTTTTCATACCAGGGTAGGACAAAAAGTATTGCTACTAAGGTTCCAGTTCATACATGCACGAGCTTATTCCAAACAAAACATGTTTCAACATGTCTCTGCCATCAGAATGACTGCAGACAAGTGCTGTTGGTAATACACGTGTCTACATCTCGTTGTTGTTTCTGGAATCCTGGTGTGGCGCTGTGGGCTAATGTGCAAAGTACCATTGAGTCAGTTCTGATTCATAGGGAACCCTGTAAAGGGTTTCTGAGGAGCGACTGGTGGGTTTGAACTGCTGCCTTTGTGGTTCATACTGACTTTTTAGTTCAGTGCTGACCCTACACTACCACACCAGGACACCATCTCATTGGTGGCTGTGTGCCTTGGAGTTGGTTCTGACTCATAGCGACCCTGTACAGGGTTTCCGAAGCTATAAATCTTTACAGGAGCAGAAAGCTTCATCTGTCTCCCATGGAACAGCTGGTAGTTTCAAACTGCTGACTGTGAGGTTCGCAGCCCAACTTGTAACCGCTACGCTACCAGAGCTCCTTGAGGGAGTTGTTAAGAAGTAAGTAAGTGTGATAAACCACACAAAACAAAACCCACTGTCATCATGCCCATTCCAGCTCATGTTGTTGTTTGTTGTTAAATGCCGTCGAGTCGGTTCCAACTCATGGCGACCCTGTATAGGGTTATCCAGGGAGCAGCTGGTGTGTTTGAACTACTGACTTTACAGTTCAAACAGAACTTGCGGTCCACTGCTTGTCCTACAGCGCCATACCAGGACTCCAAATCCTAGCAACCCTGTATAGGGTTTCTGACACTATATATCTTTACAGGAGAGACAACCTCATCTTTTTCTTGTGGAGTAGCAGATGGGTTTGAAATGCTGAACTGGTTTGTGGTTAACAGCCCAGCATTTATCCCACAGCACCATTAGAGTTTAAATGTGATAAAGAATACGTGTTTTGAGTATCTAACACACACTTACACAACACAATGTGTCAGCCACTCTTCTGTGTGCTTAAGAATTATTGGTTCATTTCATATTTACAACAGCCCAATGAGAGTGAGGACTGTTATCATCCCCATTTTACAGATTTAAAAAATTGCAGCACAGAGAGGTTAAGCACTCTCCAAAGGGCACACAGCATGTAAGTTGAGGTGCTGGAATTTGAACCCACACTGACAACAGAGCCCATGCTTTTAGCCTGTGCTGTGCTGGCTCTTTGTGGATGCTTAGCACGGGACCTGGCATAAAATAAGCACTCTGTAGATGTAGGGAATGTACAGCTTTTCAGCTCTGTTCTATGATAAATTTCCAATGCAAGACTGATTTCTGTTACAAATTATCATTCATATAGACCATGACTGACTATTTCATTTGAATCAACTTTGTTAAAGCATAATGTATATACTATAAAAGTACCTATTTCAACAGTAGACTTTAATGATTTTTAGTAAATTTACCTATTTGCCACTATCACCACCTTCCAGTTTTCAAGCTTTGTCATCATCTCAGGAAAATCTCCCATGCTCAATCCCCAATATGCTCCCAGCCCCAGGCAGCCACCGATCTACTTCCTGTCTCAGTCAATTTGCCTCATCTGGAAATTTCTTATAAACAGAATCATGCATACATACATCGTGTTGGACTTTTTTTCACAGATCATAATGTTTTCAGGGTTCGTCCATGTTGTAGCATAGATCCGTACTTTGTTCCTTTTTCTTGCTTAATAATAGTCAATTGTATGGATATCTCCCATTTTGTTTCACTGTTTACCCCTTGCTAGACATTTGGGTTGTTCCTACATTTTGGCTATCCTGAATATCGCTGCAGTGAACATTTGCATGCAAACCCTGGGGCTGACTTCTATGCTGAAGGAGGGACCCAGTTGGTAATGGTCCCTCCTTCCCTCTCCCCTCTCACTTCCACAGAACCGGGCAGCGGGCAGGTGTTTGTGACGTCCGAGAACCAGCTCGTGTATTACCCCAGCATCACCTACGCCATCATCGGGAGCTCTGTCATCTTTGTGCTGGTGGTGGCTCTGCTGGCATTGGTCTTGCATCACCAGCGGAAGCGGAACAACCTCATGACGCTCCCTGTGCACCGGCTGCAGCACCCTGTACTGCTCTCCCGACTGGTGGTCCTGGACCACCCCCACCACTGCAACGTTACCTACAACGTCAACAATGGCATCCAGTATGTGGCCAGCCAGGCGGAGCAGAATGCTTCGGAAGTGGGCTCCCCTCCCTCTTACTCAGAGGCACTGCTGGATCAGAGGTGTGTGCTAGCTGGAAAAACTTGGGGGTCGCCCAGTTGAGGGTCATACCACATACACCTGGACTTCTGGGTCTCAGGTGTGTGTAGTATTTTAACTGCTGTAGGCAGCCTGACATTTTGCATTTCCTGAGTCCTTGCAGAACACTTCACAGGCCTCATGTCATTGAATCTCTCCAGTGACACATGCAGAGAGGTTCTGTATTTGCTGCGATTTTACAGACTTGGACAGTGAGGCTCTTGGGAACTTGCTTAAGCAGTATAGTTAGGGGACTGGCCAATTCCAAGCCCTGCTCCTGCCCAGTTACTTCAGAGCAGTGCCCAGTACACAGTAGAGATTTGGTCCATGTTTGTTGAATGAATGTTTGATGAATAACTGAGTGACCAAGTAAGGCCCTTACCTTTGCTGGCTTCATCTATAAACTTAGAGGAGGGAGGACAGAGTGCTCTCTAACTCTTGTAAACAATGGAATCCTCATTACAAATGGAAGTGTACAAGAAAACCCCACTCTATAAAGCCAGAAAAGCAGAATTCTGTAGACAATGAAGACCCTGAATCCAACCTGTCTAGCACCCCACCCCTCCACGTATAACCTCCTAAGTACCACCCAAATAACCCTGGGAAGGCCCTGGCCTGGAGTTCTTTGAGTCCCTTCTGGGTCTAAGATTCCCATGGTCTGTCTTTCAGGACCCCAGATCTGATCTTTCATCCCCTGAGCCCAGGACGTACTGTGTGTGACGTTAGATACCTTGCAAGCCATGTTCCTGGTCAACTGACCTCTTAATTGACCCTCCCCAGTGGGCAGCTCTTGCATTATTTAATCTTCATTCGCTTTTCTTCTTAGAAGATAAAGCTTTGGGGGGATATGGGGTATATCCTCAAGATACCGTTGCAAAATAAACCTGTAATAGTGCGGAACCTCACTCACTTAATAATGTTCCAATTCATGCCCTGTTCATTTGGATCATTCTGTATAGAGAAAGCTGGCCCTGGAAACGTAATAACATGTTTCAAATTCCAGCCCTGCTGCTTGCTTGCTACTTGTGATGCTGAGCAAGTCATTCAGTGTCCTGTGCCTCAGTTTCCTGATCAGTAAAATGGACATAAAAATACTGTCTACCTCATGGTTTTCTTGTGAACATTAAATAAGGTAATGAACTTAAATTACTTAACATGGTGCCTGAATTGTAGTATGGCTTGAGTAAATGAGAGCTCTAAAAAAAAATGACTTTTTCTGTTAAATTATTTCATTCCCAACAAGGTATTATTATCCCCATTTACAGATAAGGAAACTGAGGTGCTAAGAGGATGTCCTTTCACCCAAGTGCACATAACCAGGAAGAGTTGGGTTCCATTCTGTAGACCCTTCAGAGGCTCAGATGAAACACTGAGGGAGTCACTTGGCAGCCTCCTTACAGGCCCACACAAAGCCTGTGGTTTGGGCGCTGCCCAGCCAACACTAGCCAGCCAGAGCACATGACATTTCACTCCCTTTGTTTTGTTCAAACCACCAGCTTTCCTATCCTTGAATTGGCATTGCACTTGGAGAGAGAAATCTCATTTCTCTTTTGAAGCATCAACTCTGGAACAGACTGAAATTGGCTTTGGTTCCACATGGTCTGTCTCACCTCAGCTCTAATGCCTTCTCCTCCCACCCCAACTTCTTTCTCTCTTGCAGACCTGCGTGGTATGATCTTCCTCCTCCACCCTACTCTTCCGACACTGAGTCTCTGAACCAGGCTGACCTGCCCCCCTACCGCTCCCGCTCAGGGAGTGCCAATAGTGCCAGCTCCCAGGAGGCCAGCAGTCTCCTAAGCACGGAAGATACCAGCCACAGCCCAGGGCAGCCTGGGCCTCCAGAGGGCGCTGCTGAGCCCAGGGACTCTCTGCTCAGCCAGAGCACGGAAGAAGTATAAAAGCCAGCTATTCCAAAGTTCATATGAGTTAATCTGCTGTGACTTGTTGCCAGGCCAACAATGGGTGCTTGTGGGGGGCTCTTTGGGGGTGATTCAAGGAGAGGTTTGGGATGTCAGCTGTCTGTCCATTTTCCCCTCCACCAGATGCCAATTCATTGGAGGGTGACTTGGCATTTTTCTGGACTGTCCGCTGACATCTCTGCTGTGCATCTGTCCCACGAGGCCACTGTTTCTTCAGGGCCCAGACCACATCCTCCCTCTTCCCATCATTCTTCTGTTACAATTGGCATCCTGAGTGGGAGTCATAAATTTGCAGGCAGAAGGATAAACAGTATTACTAAGCATTCTTTGAGAAAGCAGTGTTTCTGCACCATCTCACATGTCCAGAAGGACAGTAGGCACTGGACCCAGTCAGTCCCTCCTGGATTGGCCAGCCCTGCTACAAGGCCACCTTGGAGAGAGCCCGGCTGTGAATCCACAAGCTTCCCCGAACTATCCCGTACATTGTGCCTGGTGATTGGAGGCAGTCAACCAAGAAAACACTTACTACCTTGCATAGTCCCCTTAACTACTGGCAGCATCGGTTCCGTTTTGAAAATTACTCTGAGAGCCATGATTCTGGATTCTGGGTTTAAGAGCTAGCCCAACAATCCTGGTTTGGAAAACTCTTCACCAGCAGCATTTATCATCAGTCTCATCTCAGCGTGAACAACACGCATCTGCCCTGAGATTATCCCAGGTTTCAGGCTGCCAAGAGCCTTAGCCTGTCTGGCTCCTCAGTCCCTTCCGTGACTCCAGGTTGTCACCTTCCCATCAGAGTGAGCTGCCTGTAGCCAAGGGACAGGGATGCAGCTTGAGTTGACTGAGAATCTGGCCTGGCCTTGTTGCCGATCTAAACTCAGCCTGCCTTGCTCACTCACCATTCATGAAGCTCAGTCTTGGCCCCCTCAGTTCCCTTTACACTCAGAAGTCTGTCTTATTTTTGCAATTGGACTTGACACTGTGGTCTTAAACGCAAGTGAGAGCAAGATTCAGGCCTTCCCCTGTGCGCATTGGCTCCTAACGCTGCACACACTCCCCCTCCCAAGGCTTGAGTACCGTCCGTGCCCCTCATCTATCTGTCACCAGCCTCTCCTAACGTCCCAGGCATCTCTCCTCCGAAAGTCATGGACAAGGCACAATGTGGAGTCAAGGTTTTCCTTTTGGATTTTTTGTTTTGTTTTTAATATCTTAGAAATGCATTTGAAATAGTGTGTTTATTTGTTCTTTCCCTTCTAGTTAAGGGACTATTTATGTGTATAGGAAAGCCATCTTTTTATTTTATTTTTTTTTTTAGTGGGGTCCAAAGAAAGACGCAGAAGGAGATACTACTTATTGCCTTTGCCCTGCCGAGCCCCGTGGTAAAAAGTCACCGCAGACTAACCTGTGTGTCAGGACGTGTGCTTTAAGGTTATTTATCATGTTGTTTGAAGGATGCAGAAGAGGGACCTGTTTCTCCCTGTATTTGTGCTCATTTTGCCCTCCGTGCCCAGCCAGCCCTCTGGGAGAATAATGGGTAGGAATTTAAGCATTGTTTGGCAAGAAACCACACTGGCTGTGATGGGGACAAAACTGGAATCAAGAGGAACCACTCAGGGCAGCTCTTGTCCATTCAGAACTTTTTCCAACAGAAGGGATGTGTAATGACCTGTTTGATGCTCATTCAAATAGAGCCCATGGGAGGAGGGAGGAGGTGGTGTTCAATGATCCTGTTCTGTAGACTTTGCATTCTCTTTCACCCAAATCCAAAGTATTTTTTTATCAGAATGCTAGCCACTTGGTGATTTAAAAGAGAAGAAAGGAACTTCGTTGCTTACTTCTTTCAGTTTTAAAATAGCACTTGAGTTATTTTCTCAGTAATCCAATAAAGAAAGAACTTTTGATGACAGCCAGGGTGTGTTAGAAACTCGGGCGGAACATTTCATCTCCTGTGAGTCAGAAGGGCTTTATTCCTCCCTTTGAAGGGCCCCTGCTTCTCTCTGGTGCTCTGGAAGTTGTTGAAAGGAAAGGCTTCTAATTTTAATTAATTGTGCAGTGAGTTAATCTCACACGCATTTCTGCTTCCAGGCATTTTAGGAAAAAACAAATCGTTTTAGTAGGTAAGCCAGCCTATTAATGTTGTTTTTTGTTTTGTTTTGTCTTGTTTTCTTAAAAACAACACAGGGACATTTTTTATTATAGATTTGATTTTTTTTTTAAGTGTATAAATAGAACACCAAAGCTGCAATTTTGTTTTGTTTTGTTTTCTACTCGAGATGGTAAATAAATGGCCAGCGATAGTTTTTAATTCATACCAACCAGGACGTTTTTCATACATTGCCTAAATCTACACCAACCAGAAAACAATCTCTACTCTGTTTCTCAGATGAGATTAGCTAGTCCCTTTGATTTTACCATTTAACTAGTTTCATTATGTTTGCTAAATTATCACCCGACTCAAAGCCCTCTACTTTGAAATCGATATGTTTTTATAAATTGCAAATAAAGCTGTTAATAATAGTATGTGATGTTCGAGGTTCATGTAAACTGGAAGGGTTGCGTGTGGTTGCTTTTTGTTGGCTAGGTTTTGATTTGGTTTTGTTTTTAAATTTTTATACTTTCAAATAAACTTGCAGTTTCATTCTTTCTTCTGGTGTGAATGATTCTTGACCCACAGTTCTCCTCTATGGCAGTATAAGGAGTTGGCAGTCAGGACTTCTGCAATGAATTTATGGCACTGCAGTGAATTTATGGCATAGTAAAATGAGAAGAAGGAAGAGAAGATTGGTGGGACCTCAAAACAGAATGGGTGCTTTAGGATTCCACAGTTGACGTGGTTGGAATAGGGTGGTGGAGTTATGAACACTGACCTCAGGGTTGGTGAACCTTAAGGTGTCCTTTTCAAAGACTAACTTCTTGAAGCTGTAAGAAAAAGAAAGCATTTCCGATGGCCGGGAATGTGTGAGGAAAAGATTTGCATCCTATGAGGCCCTAAGGAGCAAAGATGCTGACTCCCTGGACATCTAATAGTTAAACAAGCTCATGGGAACCTTAAATCAGAACCTCCAGCTCACACAGGCTTAATTGTGTTACAGTTTAGAAGATGTAACCAACCTGAAGGGCATGGAACTGCTGATTGCTGGCAGGGCTGGATCCAATTGCTTAACAGATGTCATCAGAAACCTGTTTTTCCCTTGGCTACTTTTCAGTCCTGCTTTGCTCAGTGTTGGCTTTATGGTTTTGCTCATGGTGGAAAAGAAGGTCCCAGAAGATCTGGGTTTATAAACTCAGAAGAGAGATGCTCCTCAAAGCTATAGAAACTCCCTTACATGCATTTGTGATTGGTCATCCTTGATCATGTGACCTCTATTGTGAATGTGAATTACTTGAAGGAACAATTCACATATGGAAGAGGCTGGTGGTACACAAAATGGTAATAAATCGACTACAGAGCTTCACCAAGTAAAGGGACCCATTGGGTGGCGCAGTTTTTAATACATGTAAGAAAAGAGCAACATCTACAAGCTTCAGACAATTAAGTCTTGGCTATTAGGAGCAGAGACAAGTGTTGCATTCAAAATGCCAACATAGTCAACAGCCTTTCCGTAAACCTAGGAGACAGGGTCTGTTTCCAGTTGCAGGCATATTGGGCTGGGCTTATGCGTGTTTTTATGAGGTGCTCATCTAGAATATGCTGTGTCCCATGGATAAAGTCATATTGGAGGAGTTCCACCCTAAGGACCCTGAACCGCTTGCAAAACACTAAAAGTGCTGAAACAGGGCACTTATCCCTCCAAGAGTCTTTCCCAACCCACACAAGACTTCTATAGCTGCATGAATCTAAGGAAACTGGCCTCATCCCAGCAAACCTACCATCAGAGTCCACTTGGGACACAGTGTGTTCCACATAATTGCATCAAAATACATATTGCCTCATGATTATTTTCCTTTGATTTTTTCAGTATGCCTTCCATTACTGAAACATGTGGTATCAACAAAAGATTAAAAACAGAGAATAATTCAGTCATGAAAGGCTTAAGCTGATGACTCAAAGATGCATTCCCATTAATTTCCTTTACCAAGCTACCCTAAACCTAGACTCAGCTGTTTATGCTACTAACTAGGCTGGTGGGTTTAAACAGCCAATTTTTTTTTTTTTGGTTATCAGCTGAGAGCTTAACCAGTGTGCCACCCACCAGAGCTCTACCTTTCTCAACTCCACTAGTACCCAGTATACAATGAACCAAATCAAACCTACTGCCACCGAGTCGATTCCAATTCATGTGGACCCTGTGTTGTTAAATGCTGTTTAGTCGGTTCCGACTCATAACAACCCTGCATGAGGTTTCTGCGAAGTGGCTGGTGAGTTTCAACCGCTGACCTTGTGTAAAACTGCCCCCTAGCGTCTCCGAAGCTATAAATCTTTGTGGGAGCAGATAACCTCTTCATGCATCCTCGGAGTGGCTAGTGGATTTGAACTGCTGACCTTGTTTTGTGGTTAGCAGCCCAATGTGTAACCCACTATGGCACCAGGGCTCCAAAATGGGAACAGAGACAATATAACTGTGAGGGAACTTGAGCCAGACCCCCACTGGTGAGCTAGTCTGTGGATACCTAGACATACCTGTAATCTCCTAAGTATGGGACCCCAAATTCTGTTTGGGGGTGAGAAGCTGACACCTTGCTCACACAGGGAAAGGGGGCTACAGAGATTATAGAAGGGGTTGGCCTCCTATTGGAGTCCATTGCCACAAAATAATTGCATGTGTCTTCACACACACACACACACACACACCACCCACCCACCCACGTACTTGCTGGCTTGGCTTAGATCTAATAAATGCCTTGTCTGTGAAAATATTTGTGCTGACCTGGTATGTCAGGTCTGGCATTGGTCAGAGCTACTGCCAGTATTGTAGGAATAAGGAATGTGATTTATTTATGGATTTATTTATAGATGTAATACAGAAATCGGGGCTTTC